TTTAAGTCTCACATTAACAGACTCACGGGGATACCGCAATTGAGTTTGGAGGAGCCGACCATTCGGCATAACAATTGATTAATAATCAGCATTAAAGAACAACTAATTAAACTTTAATTAATTCAAACATATTGGTGGAGATATTAAAATTTACCTGAGCTAATAATTCCTACAGAGTTTTATTAGTTAAAAAACATTATGGTTAAAGGGGCTTATTTGAAATAACAGACCGCATGTAGCCCCGTTGGTGGCGCCATTTTGAAATGTGTGTCTGCGTGAGTGTGGGTGTTCTCAGTGCGCATGCGCGAGTGTATCCCGCCTCCGAAAATCATTTCAATCGCGTCTTTCAAAGGGACAGGAAGCAGGGTACCAGAGCTGCGGGACTCCTTGGACGTCGTTAGCAGATTACGTGACCTTGTATCTTCGCTTTTGGTGAAATACTTTTCTATTTTACATTGAAATAAACTGTTAAACTGATAACGGCTTTGTTTAAACTCAGCATTTGCTCTTCTGACAGTGTTTCGTTCAGGGCATGTTTGTACTTGTTTAAATTTCGCCTGCCTTGGCTTTTCCATCTTTAAAAAGTTGAACAAAGTTTGGGACTTGTGCCGTTTTTGTTTAAAAGTGAATGTTTTTTAACTTAAAAAACATTAAAAGCGCTACACAGCCCTAAACGCTATTATAGCCTAAATTTCAAACCCGATATATCATGTTAACAAATGTAACCATTGTTTTAATACAAGCTTTAAAATTACTCATTTTAATTTTAGCTAGGGTTGTGGTGGGGGTTGGAAGGAAGAGGGAAGGGGAGGAGGGGGTCGGAAGGAACCTGGACCTGTCAATCATCAGTGATGATGTCATAGGCGAGGGGCAAAATAGGCTTCCCCCAAGGTACCACTTAACCTTTTTTAACCACTACTATTGTCTATAGATGTCCAATACATCCAGTCCATTAGACTGAATTGTCAGTAGGAGGTCCTGAACTAAAGTGTCTTTTATTTTTCTTGTAATTGTACCATTAAAGTTATAAAAAGTAATGTTGTTTTTTAATGAGTGCAGTCGAGATTTACTCCTGTGGCCGGTCGCATCATTTATAACCAGCTAACATATGACCCATATCCAGCATGACACAGACTAAATGTATCACAGCTCATGTTAGAGCAGATTGCCCAGACTCACCTCTCTGTGCTTCAGGGCAACTGAGCTGTAGACCACATCGCTGGCTGGGGTTTCAGCAGGACAGTGTGAAGAACATCTAGAGGACACCTGCTGAGAGTATTTAGCTGTTTACAGTGGAGGTACAAGACCAACCTTTGTACAAAAACCACAAATCCATAAACTCCCAAACCTCCCATCAGAATCACTGTGAATTATCAAGGTATCATGGTACTTCTTGGTACATTACATCTAATTCTGATACATGGATCTGAGAGATCAGCTGAGATGTAGATGTGCCTGCCTAGTCAGTATATTACTGATATACGTGTCACTCTCATTGGTACTGGCATAGGAGCAGTATCACAAAAACTGATTTACATGAAATCATCTTACCTCTGGATCTGGCAGGACAATGGAGCTGTAGGTGACATCAGCACCGGGCTCCACAGAGGCCTGAGAGAGGAACATTATGACTATGTATCTCTACAGAACCACCTATTTATTCTTTAACTGACAGCAATCAAACTTCATTGTTGTTGAATTTGGTGATACTCCAATGTAGTGAAGTAAATGATTTGTACCATGACAGATATTGTCCAATATTACGACTTCTTATTTCCATTTAGAAAACATTTTTACCATAATGTAATAACTCACTTTTGAACTGGCAATGAATAACAAAGGAACTATCAGCACCTGGTACTAAAAATGGGAGAACCGGCACCTAATTCTGAATAACAAAGGGTGTAGGGGCACCGGTTAATAAATAACAAGAGGGGTAGAGGCACCCAGAGCCGAACAACAAGGGGGAGAACCGGTATTTGGTTCTGAACAACAAGGGGAGTCCTTGGAGTTGTTTTTCCCCACTTCAAGCACTGGGAGTCGACGCTATCAAAAACACACATACTCCACTGGAGACACTACTCTGATGTTACACTTTTACAACACTCTTTACAGCGTAAAAACATAAGTACACACATTATGTAACATGATTACACATATAGTATAAGCTGATAACCTGAATGATCAGTTGAGCAGACCGGCCCCACAAAATCGATCATGATATCATTGTATATATTTTATTCCTGTGCCTTACCTGTCCTGGGGGGGCTCCCTTACTGATGCTAGTTCTGTCGATTTCTGCATATTCAGGGTCTGGGTTCAGCTAGAACAAAGTCACAGCTGAGTCAAAAAGACTTGCTTATCAGGGTACAACACTCTTTATTTGCAGTCTTTAGCAGGACTATAAGAAGCACTCAACGAGCACCTAACCCAACAAAATACGAATACACAGGATGGTCAGATGCTGGACCGTCAGGTACACACACGGTGGGGAATTTAAGCAATGCTAAAGACATGCGAGGATTGAACAGGGTGCACATAAGACACGGGCAACCATACTTGCCACAATCGGGAACACAAATATTAATCAATTATACACGCGCTCGCAAGACATAGGCAGATTGTCATACGTACGGAGCAGGCACAGAGCAGGGAAACAGGCAAAGGGAGCCGTGGAGTCAGGTAAACGAGGGATTTATTAGGGGTTGACATGAACGGGGACACGGGACATTAAGACGTTAATGACCAGACAGGGGATACATACTCTGATGTGGACTTAAACACACAGGGCTAATTAGATACAAGAAGAAGCAGCTGATAACACGGGGATTCCACACGAGGTACATGAGGGGGCGTAGCACACTGGAGGATCGGCACGATCGTGGCGTGACAGATTTTTTTTCCCTTATGGAACATGAACTTACTGTCCTTCCTAGATTTTGGCTCCCAGACACATTTTTCTCTACAAGGAAAAAAATTAGGGAAAAATATCAGAAAATTACTCTGCTGACACCACTGTCTCTGCCCTTAACTGATACAGATAATTTGCTTCATAACAAACACATTCCCTCTTAATTAGCATGTACATACATCTGAAAATAAGAACATAAGAACATAAGAAATTTACAAACTAGAGGAGGCCATTCGGCCCATCAAGCTC